TACATGCCTGAATGTCTGTGTATGTACCGCAGGCATGCCAGAGCCTGCAGAGGTCAGAGGAGGCATCGGATCCCCTGGAGCTGGAGTCACATGCAGTTGTGAGCCACTCAATGTGGGTGCTGGGAACACAACATGGGTCCTTTGAGAGAAAGGGACATGCTGAGCCATCTCTCTAGCCCCCACATGTTATGTTCTTGGAGCTAGGATTCTCCAACCATGAGGCAGAGCACAGGGGAAGGGCTGGTTTCTGAGAGGAGACTGGGAAATCTAAGCAGCTGTGGATGCTGAAGGGGGGGGGCAACTCACTGTTGATTTGCATAGAGCAAACTTGGAGAAGACTGGGCGAAGGAAGGGAGCCCAGCAAGGGAGAAGCATGCTGGGGAAGAGAGGTGCCTGAAAGCTCCTCCAGCCTGGCAGCTTGGCTTGGGATTGCTCTGCACGTCCACGGAGCAGCTCAGTGCCTTGGGTGAAGATAAGGGACCTGAGCTCAGCCCAGATGTGCCAGCCCCATTCGCAGCCAACACTTCTCTGTTTGCTGTCTGTCTTCCTGTTCTGGACTCCTGGGCCTTCTGAGCTTCTCCCCTTTAGCTTCTTATTTACAGTCCATGCAGGGCCTTTGTGGCATGAGCTTTAGCGCTTGGCATCCCAACCAAGTCAAATCCTAGGCCTCATCATTTTTGGAGACGATGTGGGTAAGTCCTCAATCCTAAACATCTCCTGTCACCCATCAGAAGCCCATGGCCTGCTGGGAGTCTTGAAGCTGAGTTCTGGCAGTTTAAGCCTTTTTACAATTGTTCATATTCATATTCTCTCTCTCTCTCTCTCTCTCTCTCTCTCTCTCTGTCTGTCTCTCTCTCTCTCTGTCTCTTTCTCCCTCTCCCTCTCCTTCCTTCCTTCCCTCCCCTTCCTTTCTTCTGATTTTTGAGACTGGTCTCACTCTGTGTTCCAGGCTGGTCCAGAATTCACTATGTAGACCAGGCTAGCCTTGAACTCAAGGCCATCTTCCTGCTTCTGCCTCTTGAATGTTCCCACTATGCGCAGGCCATCTTTCTCCCTGATATTATACTTGGTTTGTGAAAGTTAAAAATATTTCTTACTCGATAATTTTTCACTTGTTCATAGACTATTCTCAATTTTCTTTTTTTGGCTGATTTGATATAGTTTTCTTTAGGCAGGGTTCACTGTGTAGCTCTGGGCAGTCTGGAATTTGATATTTAGGCCAGTCTGGCCTGGGAGTCCCAGAGATCTGCCTGCCTCTGCCTTCTCAGAGCTGGGACATGTCCTTCCTTTCCAGACATTTTAGATTGTTTTTTAAAAAAATAATTTATTTATTTTATGAGCATTGGTGTGTATGTCTCTGTGTTGGATCCCTTGAAATTGGAGCTATAGACAGTTGTGATCTGCCATGTGGGTTCTGGGAATTGAACCAGGGTCCTCTGGAAGAGCAGTCAGTGCTCTTAACTGCTGAGCCACCTCTCCAGTCCCTTAGATTGTTTTTTTTTTTTTTTTAATGAGTTAGCATTAATCCAGTTTCACTTGTTGGTTGACTCCTCCTGCCGTGGCGATCCAGGTATTGAACTCAAGCCATCAGGCTTTGTGGCCAGCGCCTTTCCCTGCTCAGCCTTCTGGCCGGCTCTTTATTCTCTGATTTATGATGAACTGACACTCTCGTTGTTTTAGGAGAGCACTGATTGCTCTGACACTAAGCAAACCGTGGCTTTCTGACGCTTTGCTCTATAGTGCTCATAACCTGAGAGTTTTCTAGGAAGTCTGCCATTTGGTTCTGCTAGAAACCCTCTGGGGAGACGGCTCAGTGGATAAGGCATTTGAGGGGCAAGGGTAGGACCGACATTTGGGATCCCCAGTACCCACATACAAGCTGTGCTCATGGCAGAAGAGATGGCTCAGGCATCATTCGCTACTCTTTCAGAGGCTCAGAGTTTGGTTCCTAGCACCCAACATCAGGCAGCTCACGACTGCCCTATAAGTCCAGCTCCAGGGGATCTGACCCCCTACCCTGGCCTCCATGGTCTGCTGCGTACCTGTGGCAGACATGTACATAGACACACACACACATAAACAAAACTTTAAAAAATACCGTGTTCTGTGAGCAACCTTGCCTCGGTGAGTGAAGTCGGGGAGTAACCTAAACACCTGCCATCAACCTCAGGCCCCCACATGTGCAGCACACACCTGTGCCTGCACTCATGCACACACACGCACACATACACCAGGGAAGGAAGGGAGGAAGAAGCCCCTGCGCTTGGAGGAGCTGCTGACGCAGAGTGTGAGTGCCAGTAGAGGCGAGGGGCTGTGAGCACGGTGCCCACCTCAGTCGGTTTTTCTCGTAGGGCCTGAATTCCCTGTTCTACGGAGCGCCAAGAGGTCCGTCCTCTTTTCTGAGCTCAGGAGCCCAGGCCTCCTCTCCCGGGGCTAGCCTGACTCAGATGGGGTTGACTTAGAGAGGTTTCCTCAGCTTTGCCCCCTGCCTCAGGGGAACCAGCTGTCCGTCCTTCCTGGCTGCCCCTGTTTCCTCTTTCCTGACACTTCAGCCCTAGGAAGGATGCTCCACCCACAAGGCCTGGTGCTCCGCCAGAAGTTTCTGGAGCTGCTGGTTAAGCCAGCCTTTTGAGGAAGATGAGAAGTACTGTGTGGTAGTGACCTGGGGGCGGAGCTACCTGTTCCTGGGGGCGGAGCTACCTGTTTATAGAACCACAATTCCTCCAGGATGGGGAGAGAATCACTGCTGGCTCCACTCCATTGGGACAGTTACTGCACCCAGCCAGAGAGCTGGCATCTTGGCGGGAGTTGGATGTGGTCTCGAGATAGAAGGGTTGGCAATGGAGAACCTGTTACCTGAGAGACTACCTGGCCATCCTCACCAGGTAACAGCGGCCACCAATCAGGGAAAGCCTGGGGCCAACAAGCCTGCTGTACCTAAAAGGAGGGTGGCATTAGTCTCCGTGTGGACCGAGGGAAAGGGAGTTGGTGCTTGGGTGTATGGAGAGGGTAGGGGGCAAGCAGCACCCACAGAAGTGGGGACCTGGGGACGGTGAGGCAGATATACAGGTGGCATCCTCCTCAGGGGTGCTCCCTCAGGACTGCCACTTCTGCCCATATCGGAGAACAATGGCCGCTCCTCCTGAGGACCCCCTAGCCCACTACTCATCACCATAGGCCAGTGGAGTTTCTGGAACTGGCTAGAGCCCTGTGGCTCTCAGTATTTTAAATCCTCATGCCAATTATTTTCTGGTCACAAGAGTTATGGGGATGCACCTGTAGGCCAAGGATCGCACAAACTGTTTGCTCCCTCTCAGCCCAGAGTTCTCATCCTGCACTAAAGACTAAAGCTGATAGGAATCGCTCCTCTGTTTGTCCCTGGTGCCCCAGAAGTGTCCAAGAAGGCTCTCCAAGGCACCTTGCTTCATTTGCAGACCTTGATGGGTCTCTCACTGGGGTCCTGAGATGCAGCCTAAGTGATATGGGGCAAGCAGATCCTGGAAAAGACTTGGGCACTGCAGTCTGGGCTCCAGGAGTCCTGGGGGAGGTGGAGAGGGCTGCTTTCACTGGAAGTCTGAGAGGACCCATCCCCAAGTCAGCCATCAGTGGAAACATCCCCATGTGACAGGGTAGCAGAGGGACTGCCCGGTCCTGGCTCCATCGCTCCCTCCTCTTAGGAGCCCCACATCCCATAATGGTTGATGAAATGCCTTAAGTTCCAGCTGATTTCCCTGGGAGGCCACTTCTCCTTCCTCCTCTTGCCTACTCTGGGTCCAGACCCAGGAGTAAACAAATGCCCAAGTTCGGGGATTTGGGAGCCTGCATCCGCCCCATATCTGGGAAGCGCCTTGTTGGAAACTGGTGTTTCCAGGCTTGGGAGGTTTTGACTAATAGGATTGACTAATTCATCCTGCCCTCTGAGCTGGCTAAGTGTCAAGCGAGCTCCAGCCCCTGCTTCTTGGTCTTCTTTGCTGCTGACTGGGGACTGGAGCTTCCGTTGGTGGCAGGAGAGTGTTTGGCAGAACTGGTTGGGCCCCAGAGACTGGTTCTATGAGGAGCTTCTGTTTGATCCAACAGCTGAGGCTGACTCTAAGGAGCCAGGTGGGAACTGGCCACAGCATCTGCCTTGCCTCCCCCTCCCCCGCACCAGAACCCGACCACAGTCTCGGGGGGAAAGGGTGGGGGGAGTCATCCTCTCCTGTGCTGGCTTAGAGACTCACACCCCTATGTCTGGCTTTATGTTGGACTGGGGATCCAAACTCAGGTGCTCATGTTTGAACAGTAGACATTTTACCAACAGTCACCTCCCCAGCCCCTTCTCGGGGTGTTTTAAAGCAGTCCATAGGCTTTGGGCTTGTGGGGTCTTAGCCTGGCCAGAGAAGCAGGTGAGCAAGGCCTGGTGCCTATGCTGTCTGAGAGGGGCATTGAAACCCTCACCTCTCCTAGACCAACATCATCCCAGTTACCCGCTTCGTGTGTCAGGCAGTGGAGGACTGAGTGGGGAAGGATGTGGAGCCAGGCGCCTAAAAATTGACTAATTCTCTGACAATCATTCCCTCCAGCTTAAATACTTAGGGGTTGAGATGTTGCTGGGGTTGCTAAAATTAATCATGTCAATGTGTGTGTATGTGTGTGAGAGAGAGAGTAAAATGACAGAAAACTCAGAGAGAGAGAGAGAGAGAGAGAGAGAGAGAGAGAGAGAGAGAGAGAGAATAAAATGACAGGAAATTCAGCGTACAGCCATGGCGGGGTAGGTGCTGGGACTGGGACGGGCTACCTCCCGAGTCATTCTACCTTGGCCCCTCAACATTTGCAGTTCTCTGTGGAGAGATGCTTTGGGTTTTCTCAGACTCTAGTAGGAAGCATCCATACAGAACTAGATCTGTCCCAGGGGCACAGGGACGCCTGACCACACAGGCTGCGGAGCAATGATGGAGCCACAACAGGAAACCTTCTCAGGTTTCACAACACCTGTCTGTCTCCCTGCTTGCCTTGTCACGATGTTGCAGTGCCCATTGTTCACCCCATTGTTCACCCCATTGTTCACCGTGCAGCTTCTGGCTCCCTCGGATGAGAGCAGGGGTGGGGTGCAGGGGTGAGTGTCCCACGAGCTCTTTGTTCTCCAGTGTCAGTCCTCCCCGTGTGGACTCTTTCTGATGGAACCAAGCACCCACAGACGGAGTTCTCATGGCAGGCTCTCTGTCAAGACGATGCAAGGCCAATGACCTTCCTTTCGGTCAGTCCAGAATCCCGCCAGGCCCATGTGAGTCACCTCAGATTATGGGGCTTGTCTTAGTATGCCATCTAGAAAAAGATGGAGAGCTAATCCCAAACCGGAGAAAAGAGGGAGTCCCCGGGTCCCAGGAGCGTTAGGATTTCAGTTGGCACGGGCTCTGCCAAGACTCAGCCAGCTGGGCTCTGATTGCTTCCTTGCTGCCCACTCTCTTGCTTTCTCTTGGGCTTATCTGAGGTCTCATTTGTCTCATGAGCATCTTAACACACAATACCTTTCACCACCATTCTCTGTGCTGGCGTGATCATCCTGGAGTTGCCTAATTCATGGCCAATGAATCACAGATGATGAACGCAGTGTTGATAAAATTCCTTCCTAGGGGAAGGCACAAATAATAGCTACTCCACTTCCCAAGCTCTCAACAACTACCGGAGGCGTGATCAGAGCATAGGTGAAAGGTCAACTACAGGAGTGTGGGTGCTCCTCCCCCCAAACATCAGAAAATCTTGAACCCAGAAGGTATTATGGTTTTCTCATTGTTACACAGATGGAATGCCCTTGCCTAGTCTCCCCTCTGCCTACATACACTCCAGCCCTCCTGGGGACCACGTGCCGTTAAGGCGGAGCTGCCTGCAACAGGTAGAAGATAGCCTCTGGGTACTCAGATGAGGGTCTCAAGTCCCTCCCCCACGGGAGAGTGTAAACAGTCAACAAGGTCATCTGGAATAATCCTTTGGCAAGGGGGTAAAGCTGAACCCCCCCAAGATGGAGGTTGCTTGGATCAGAGGATAGTCATTCACATTTTAGAACTTGGGGATACATGGGCCACTGGGTTTCCTTTGCTCTGCCCACCTTGAGATGTAGGAAAGACACAAAGGATGGGAGTCACTGCTTCAAAAAAGGACAGCCCTCTCTGGAAGGCCTGACTGTGGCCATCTCCCCCTGACCAGTGAGGTGGTCACTCCTTGTCCTCAGTTTCCTGTTTTATCTGCTCTGCTTGGGATTTTGTCCCTGAAGGGGAGATGACCTCACCAGCACTGATCCCCCAGGTGGTCTGCCATCCCATCATTGCCAAAAGCCACAGTCAAGACATCAGGGACAAGTGGTAGACAAAGGTGGTTTGGTCTGGTGTCCCAGCAGCTTCACTCTGTACTAGGTCAATGAGTGGAGTCGGGGACCTGGACAGTGCAGCGTCTCCAGGTTTGAGAGACTGCTGGTGAGCGCAGGGGCTTGGGGTGTCTTTGCAGGAGGAGGAGGAGGAGGCCTCTGTCTTCTGGCGGCTCACAGTGAAGGTCCTGGAGGCTCGGAGTCTGCCTAGGACTGACTTGTGTAAGAGACTATCTGCGGGTAGGGGACTGGATCCCAGGGAAAAGGACCAGGCGCTCTTTGGGGTGGGGCCTGGCCTGCCCTCAGTGTATGCTGAGGTTGCCATAGGAACCTAAGCAAAACCCCTGGAAAAAATGTGCGGCGTTCTCTCTCACCTGATGGACGGTTCTCTCCCACCCCTTGACTTTGTCAGTGAGTCAGGCGGATCCGTATGTGACTCTGCTGCTGCCCACAGCCCCTGGAGTGAAATTCAAGACCCAAACTGTCACCAACTCCAGTCATCCTGTATGGAACGAGACCTTCAGTTTCCTCATTCAGAGTCAGGTCAAGGTAAAGGTCGGGGTGGACAGCCCTGCTCTCTCCTCTACAGGAGGGTCTTGGAATCAAGTAGGGTTGCTCCAGTAGTCCCCGAACTCGGGGGAGGGGGCTGTCTTTGTGCTCCAGACTCTGTGCCGTGAGCAAGAGAATGTGGGAAGGAATGCTCATCCCTGGCTGTGGGCTGATGTGGGGCAAGATGCTACATCTTTCTAACCCATCTATGATGTGGGAATAGGAAGCATTCCTCTTTCACGGGGCTGCTGTGGGGCCGAAGGGGAGATTGTGTAGAAACTGCCACAATACTTGGCATTTGCCTTTGGGGCATGTTAGGGAACTAGCAAAGCAGACTAGTTAAACACTTTCCCTCAGTTTAAACTACATTTTAAAATTTATTCTGTGTAAGTGTGCCTGTGTGCATCGGAGCACACACGTGGAGGTCAGAGGGCAACTTTGGGAGTTAGTCTCTCCCTCCACCATGTGGCTCTTGTTTGTCAGTCTTGCCAGTAAATGCCTTTACCCACTGAACCATTTTGCCTGCCCCAAAAGAAATTTAAAAATATATTTTGATTGTTTTTAGATTTTTTCTTTCCTTTTTTTTTTTTTTTTTTTTTTTTTTTTGTTTTTAGATTTTTTCTTTCCTTTTTTTTTTTTTTTTTTTTGGATTTTTCGAGACAGGGTTTCTCCGTAGCTTTTTTTGATTCCTGTCCTGGAACTAGCTCTTGTAGACCAGGCTGGCCTCGAACTCACAGAGATCCGCCTGCCTTTGCCTTCTGAGTGCTGGGATTTAAGGCGTGTGCCACCACCGCCGGCTCCTTTTTTTCAAATAGGATCTTGTTATGTAGCACTGGCTGGCCTAGAATTCACTGTGTAGACCAGGCTGGCCTTGAACTCACAGAGATGCACCTGACTCTGTCTCCAGAGTTGCTGAATTAAAGGGATGTGCAAATCATACCCAACTTGGTTTTTTGCATTTGCTTTTTTAAGGCAGGCTCTTTTACATAGGTTTGGGTGACTTAGATCTCACTATGTAGCCAGATTGACCTTGAATTTACAGTAAGACTCCTGTCTTTGCCTCCTGGCCTCTAGACTGCAGACATGATCTGTCATGCCCTACCTAGGAAGAAAATTCAAGATACATACTCATATACACACATATTTGAGACAGGCAATATTTGTGTAGTTCAGACGAGCCTCAAGTTCACAGTCCTCTTGCTGCAACCTCCCAAGGGCTAGGATTATAAGAGTGAACCCCCAGTCTGTTTTTACTCTTGATAAAACAAAACCTATAACTCCCAGGATGGATGAGAAAGGGGCTTGTGACTCCTGCCCTCATCCGAGGAACTTTTGGCAGTTGAAGAGAAGAGTCAACTTCCTTTAGGGGTTCAGGCCCTGAGAGGATCTCCATCCAGCAGGTGGTCCCACACTTGTGCACACACAGGTAGCACCAAATGGGCTCAGTAGGTGATAAATCAGAGACAGATGGAGAGAACATGAGGAAACACGAAGACGGGAGATGAGGGTAAAGGAGGAATTGGGAAGGAGGGGTTGCGGTGGTGGTAGATTGGCCACAAACAACTTATATTCTTGTATGAATAGTAAATAAAATATTCAAAAATTTTAAAAATGAGTAGGAACTAAGGACTTTATTGGATTTACTTATGTGTTTTACACTTGTATGTGAGCTATTGTTGAGATGAATCAATACTATGCTATGTTCCTGGCCCTTAGAATATTCTAGAATTGAGCATCTATGACGAGGACTTAATTATGAAAGATGACATCTGCTTCAAAGTTTTCTGTGATGTCTCAGAAATCCTCCCTGGCCAACTGATCCAGAAAACCTTCCGCCTGAATCCTCAGGTGGGTGAGAAGGCCCCAGGCTGAGGAAATTGCTCAACGCTTCTTAGCTGCCAGGATGGTGCTGGCTGCACTCATTCACCGGCAGGAGCATTTTCGTTGGAACAGGAAACGGGCTGTTCTATCCGGGGCTGCTTCCAGCATTACCCCACGCCAGCGTTTTAGTCACCTGCAGGATAGCCCTCAAAACACTGCTCAGTGCAACCACAAGAGGGCAGTGTAGGCTCACTCCTGCACAAGGGATTCGGGTCTGTCGCACCAAGGTCTGGTTTGGCTTCCGCTGCTGGCTTGGGGACGAGGAAGGGTAGAATTCCGAGGGCCTCCTCAACAGGAAGAAGAAATCGGGCCTGGATATCCTCAGGTCACCTCTCGCTGAGCTTGTCTTTTGCCTTCAACCCCATCAGGGTTTGGGAACCCAGAAGGGAGGAAGATCTGTCCTCTGAGGCCCACTAGCTTCTGGGATTCTAGCAGATAGCTTATCTCTCCCTAGACCGCGATTTCCTCAATTTTGCATTGGAAATGATCTTAATAGCGCCCCACCCTCAGAGACTGCTGGGGATGCAGGATAATGCTGTTAAGAGAAGGGGGTCGGTCAACTGTAAACGGCCGTGACTTGCTCACCCTGTGTGGTTGGTTACAGGGACCAGAAGAGTTAGATGTGGAGTTCCTCGTGGAAAAAGCGTGAGTAAGGGTGAACAGCCCGGGGAGTGGCTGCGGACACAAGCTCTGCTCAGGAAACTGGCCCTGACCCAGATTCCTGGTTGGTCTGTCCAGCTGAGTCACCCTCCATCTCTTCCCCATCCCTGTCAGGGAGGTCTGGGTCTCCTCTTAGGCCCATGGAGGGGGGCGGCTGGGGTCTTCCCCGCCCTGTGCTGCCCTTCCACCTTGCCGTCAGTCCGCAGTGGTATCTCCCTCATCCATCACCCATGGAGAGCCCCTGTGGGTGGGAATGGGTGAATGCAGAACCCCTTTCCTTCTGTTAAGTCACTGTGGATGTTTTGACTTTTCCAGGTTGGACCCTCCAGAAAACCTCATCACCAACAATGTTCTTGTGGTAACGGCCTTCCTGTGACTCAGCGGAGGAGATTCAGGGCAGGGGAAACTGGGGTTCTGGGGTGGGGGTGCGGGACAAGACGGGGTAGGGCTTTGTGGTCGAACTACCCCAGACCCGCAACCAGGTGGTTACACAAAACTGTGGGGCTTAGAGGGGTCTAGAGCCGAGGGGCACATGCAAAGGGAGCTGGTGGTTGTGCGGAGAAGGTTCTGACTTCTGATTGGACAGCTTTCTGATGACGCTTAGTTATGTGTAATGAGCACAGAGTCCTTAGGGATTAACTTCCTTACAGTCATAGTGAAGTCCCACATGCCAGGTCCATCTTCATTTGTTAATATTGAGGTCACCGAGGTTTGGGCTCCCATGAAACTGCAGTGGGTAGTAATGGCCACAAGGTGGCGAGCACTGCATTTGAAGCTGCCTTTTGGGCGTGGGGCTCATAACAGGCATCAGGTGAATAAAACCTGGATCCTAGAACACATTTTAGGAGCCCTCACCCTCAGGGCTTGCAAATGCGGGTCTGGTGGTTAGTTTACCTTTAAAAGAAATTCATAGTGTAGCTTGGCACCATGGCACAAGTCTGGAATCCCAGCATTTGAGAGGCAGAAGTAGGAGGTCATGAATTTGAGGGTCTATAGAGTGAGTCCCAGTCCTGCCAGGGTTACATATTGTATCATGTCTAAGATACAACAAAATATCCCTTACAGTAAAGTAACTCCAACAGCAGTTGTGGCTTCTGTGAGTTGGGGTGAGCAGCGGGTAGTTAGAGCCAGTGGTTCTGTGGGAAGGGCCGGCCAAAGCAGCACCAGGCACTGAGCCTCACAGGGGGACTGCTGAAGGCAAGCCAGTGGAGCCGAGGGTCATCAAGAGATGTTCTGGTCACTGTGGCTCTGAGTGCTTCTCTGACACCTTCAGTTCGGGGCCTGAGGTCCCCACATATTACCTGGGAGTCCGGAAGATGAAGACTGGAGACGTAACAGAGAGATGAACCTGAGAGCTGGGGGCTCTCACAGCTTCCAGAGGCTCAGTAAAGCTGCCAATAGGGATGGGGTGGGGATGGGCTGTCTTGGATGTTCAATGGACAACAGGCATAGCAGTCTGCAGCAGGTCAGAAACACATGAAGCATTTTCTGTCTAGTCCCATTTTGAACCCCACTTCTTGTTCTGCGTGCAGTGAGTGGGTTTGGTTGAGGCTCAGTGGGGCCCAGAGCTGAGGGAGAGGGGACCTCGGTTTGCTCTGTGGATCCCTTGCCTATGATGTGCTCTGTCCCAGGCCCGAGAACTGTCACGCCTGGATGTCTGTCTGGACAGAGCTGGGGGCGCCACCGTGGCAGCAGGTGAGAACTCCTGAACCCTTTCTGAACCATAGGGAGCGTAGGCTGCTGGGAAGCCTGCAGGGTAAGGGGGCATCTCTGGCATAGGTGGGAATTCCATGGGGCTGTGGCATGCAGCAGGCTGGCAAAGGACCTCTTTCGGTTTTGCTTTGCTTACTGTGGTCCAGCCTCCACCTCTACAAATACCACTGTTGCTGGTATCCCAGGTCCAAGACGGCGTTCTAGGCCCCCTTTCCCTTGTTCTCATCCATTCCATCTCTTCCCTAGGTCAGGACGAGCTGGAGCTGGCGCTGAAAGGATCATATGAGGACACACAGACACTTGCCCTGGACACCGCATCCACCTTCAGCTTCCACTATGTGAGGGGCCAAGGCACAGAGCTGACAGGGTGTCTGAGGGTGAGTCTGCTCTCCACTCCCCACTACCCTGGGCTTTAACTGGCTCCCTGCCCTTTCCCCTGTGAAAGCCAGACCTTCTGTGTTCTTGTCAGTCTCTCTCAGACAGACCCCATACCCTGGAAGACGGGAACATCAACGGGGCTGCTGGGAGGTGGGAACAGCTACATGGACTCAATCTCTTTAATGCTCTGCTGGCTTCTCTGTCAGTGGAGCGAGTGTCGTAGACTAAAGCCTGCCTGTGCCCACACGGTCAGCCTGTGCCCACATGGTCAGCCTGTGCCCACACGGTCAGCCTGTGAAGCCTGGCCTTGCCCACCTCCACTGGGCCCCAGCCATCCTTCTCTCCTTTGGCTTTTCAAACATACCAGGTGCCTTTTGGGTCTTCTGGCTCCCTCCAATGCCTCTTCGTCCTCTTCCGGCCCAGTTTCTCCTTCTCCCCATCTTAGCTCAAACAACACCTCTTCAGAGATGACCTCCATGACCCCCTTCATCACAGACAGGTTCCCATATCCCCCTTTGTTTACAATATTCTACCCTCTCACACTACGATGTACTGACATCACACGACTGACATCGCACTATGACATCACACTAATGACATCAGTCATTACTAAAGTCACTACTGACATCAAGTTCACTACCCATGTCTTTTCTTTGAAAACTATTTTTGGATAGGGTCTTATTAGTGGCATGGCAGGTTTGGAGCTCCCTCTGCAGACCAGGCTGGCCTCAGACTGCCTCTGCCTCTCAAGTGCTGGGATTAAAAGCGTGCACGGCCGCTCCCAGTTGTGACCCCGTCTTCACAAGTGTGATTCCGGGAGAGCAGTCTCTGGGCAAGCAGCATCAGCGTCCTGATTTGTAAGCGTAGTCAGTTCCGTATCGTCAGGGAAGGGCTGTCCTGTTTGCAGTTTACACTCAGAATTGGTTGAATGAATAAATGAACGAATGGATGAACGTTTCCCTTCAGAGCTCCAGAAGCAACGGCTGGATGTCACGCACCTCAGCTACACCCCTCAGCGTACCCCTGAAGTCCTTGGCCACAGGGAAGGAGGTGACTGTAGACGTTCCTGCTACAAGTGTAAGAGGCCTCACTGGAGAGGACGTATGCCCCGAGACACCAGTCTCCCGCAGGGTCTGGATTATTCTGAACAGAGTCTCTTGCTTTGGTTTCAGGCCCCGGAAGTGAAGCTGCAGCTTAGGACAGACAGCTGGTAAGGACATTGAGGGAGATAAGGAGGGGGCAGCTGGTAAGGACATTGAGGGGGATAAAGAGGGGGAATCGCTGTGTAAAGGGCGCTTCTTGCAGGTAGAGAGGGTTTTTTTTTTTTTTCTTCAGAAGCTCACCTTGGGCTTGTTCACCCAAAGAGTGAGCCATGAAGTTTTCTCCTAACCCTGGACCCTCTCCACCATCCCAGCTCCAAGGAGCTGGCTGTGCGGCTGGGCTGTGGGCTCTGCCCTGAGGAGCAGGCCTTCCTAGGCCGGAGGAAGCAGGTGGTGGCCGCCGCCCTGAAGCAGGCCCTGCAATTGGATAAAGACTTGAAGGAAGACGAGGTTTGGGGGTGCAGCAAGGATGTGGGTGTAGAAATTCTGGGGTGGCTGGTGTCCTCTTGGTCTCCAAAGAGTAGAGCTGGACTGTTGGAGAGGATGGGGTTCCTAATCTCCGTGGAGGCTCTGCTCGGGGCTGAGGGTTATCCCTCAAACCTATAGGCCTTGACTGCAAGGCCCTTGCCTGGAGGCAGGGAACAGGCTGAGTCCCTGAGTGAGGCAGAGAGCAACTCGGTCCCATTTTGTTAAACTAGTCTGCATCTCTGTGTGGTCCAGGTTCCCATTGTGGGCATCATGGCTGAGGGAGGAGGTGTCCGGGCTATGACTTCACTCTACGGTCACTTGTTGGCACTTCAGAAGTTGGGCCTCCTGGACTGTGTGACCTATTTCAGTGGCATCTCGGGCTCTACGTGGTAAGGGACTGGAAGAACAGAGATGATCAGAGGCCAGGGTAGGGGCAGAGTGGATGCCAAGGGGCCTTTATATGGGGAAGTGGATAGAGTAGTGGGACCTGTTGGGGGCCAAACAGCTTTCTCAGAAGAGAAAAACAGATTTAGCCAGAAGTCCTGCCAGGGGCACAGTGAGGTCGGAGGGCTTTTCCTAGGTTCTAAGGAGCAGGAAGGAGGAGGGTGCAGAGGAGGCTGGGTTTGCTGTTTTGTCAGGCTAGTTGTAGGCTTGGGTGGCCTTGAACAATTTCTCTGAGTCTCAGTTGGTTCATATCTAAAACCTGCATGATAAGAAACACACTCATAGGCTGAGAGGAGGAAGCCCGAGCAGGCTTGGCCTGAGGTCAACACACACCAGGACCTCCGTTGGCCTCTCAGGTGATGCTTAGGGCTCACACCACGTTCTGAGGGAGTTTCCCTTCTTGCTTATATCATACTGGTGAGGAATTTGAGGAAAAGAAAATTCTTTTATACTAAGCTAGGCATGGTAGCCATGCCTGTAATCTCAGTACTTGGGAGACTGATGCAGGAGGATTACCATGAGTTCCAGATGAAATTGTGTCTAAACAATAAAGGGGGCAAAAAAGGGGGGTGGAAAAAAGCAAAGAATGTTCTTTACACAAAGATAACACTCTCCAGCCCCTCCCCCACCACAATGAACCAGACTGGCTCATTATTACAGATTCATTCATTCAAGTCTCATTGACACGTGACATAGGCAGTAGAGTAGAGATAAAAGTTTGAGTGACAGCTATTGACAAGGCCAGTCTCAAATGGCCTCAGGACAGGCCCATAGAGGTAGAAGTAGGGAGGGGACTATGGAATATAATAGCCTTTCGCCATACACAGCTGGGCGTTTTCAGGTTTGGAGTTCAAGAGGAGGACTGAGGGGGCTGTTGTTTTGGGATGAGAGATTATAAGACAAACTCTAGACAGGCAAACAGCATGGCGGGAGCAGCTCTGAGAAGAAGCAGGTCCGTGGGGGCAGAGTGGGCACTCCCTCAGAGGAAAGAAGAGGAAAGGAGAGGGAGAACTTCCCTCTCCAGGCCCACAGTTGGCTCCTGCTGTCCCTGAGTCCAATAACATAAGTCGTTGAACCAGTTTTTACTGGTTTCCTGCTGACTTTCCAATGTAGCTGCTGAGATCCTAAATTACACACAGGCTGGAAATGTGCTTGTTGCTGAAGCACCTGCCAGTGTGTAAGATGCCCTAGGTCGAGCTTCAGCCCAGCAAACAAAACCCAAACCACAATAAACCTATACAAGGCCAATTTCACACCCAGGCCAGCCCAGGGCTAGGAGGAAGTTCCAAGAGTGTCTCCAGACGGACTTTCTAGGCAGTGGGGGCCCTCAACAATCCCTCCTCTAGGAATTAGACACAGGGTGGGATTATGGAGCCTTGCAGGGGAGGGGGGGCTCGCTTTCATCCACTTGTGCCCCCAGGGCAATGGCCCACCTTTACCAGGATCCGGAGTGGTCGCAGAGGGACCTCGAGGGACCCATCAACCATGCCAGGGAGCATGTGGCTAAGAGCCTGTGGAGCGAATTCCTCCCCGAACACTTGGCAAGCTACCACCAGGCACTGAAGCTTCGGGCGGAACAGGGCTACACCACCACCATAGCTGACCTGTGGAGCCTGGTGCTGGAGTTCAAGTTGCATGGGCAGGTATGCCGTCTGCTCAGCAGCGTGGTGTGATCATGCCTTTAAGAGTGTCTCTGGAGGGTGGAAGAGGCTGGGAGAGAATGCATCGGGAGGTCAGGGCAAAGGGGTTCAAGGCCAACAGAGACTCCATAAGGAATGTGAGGCAAGCCTGGCACACTGGGGGACTCAGTCTCAAACAGACACATACACAAAAAGAATGTGAGGGTTAGTGTCTATCCACTGCCAGAACACCTTTTAAGTAAGTTCTTCTTCAATGACTTGCTACGTACTAGAAATTTCTGGACCTCCCAAGAACTGAAGTACAGTCAGTTAAGCAAGCAAGGCTTTTGCATTGGTTGAGCCGGTTACTAGAATGCATTTAATGAATGGTTCAGAATGAGACGTCATTCCTCTTCCCCATCAGGGTGGTGTGCAATGCAAGGGCTTTGGAGCCAGATGCTCTGGGCCCTAAGTCCCGCGTTTACCAGTGGTGTATCCTTAGGCAGTTGGTTCTTCTCTCTTCCCCTTGGTCTTTGTCGGGGTCCAGTGGCAGCCTAGACCATAAATTATTTCTCTGGACCGGACCCCAACATAAACTATCTAAACTATCTCTCTTGACCAGCGTGGAGGTGCGGGAATAAAAACACAACTCACATGGCTTTATTGGGAGGGAGAGTCTCAGAGATCCCTCGTGAAATCCTGAGTTCACATCCTGAGAAATTCCTCTCGTTTATTCTCCAAACATCCTTTATACCGAAATGTAAACTGAGAGGAAGACTCATTAGCATTCTGTTTCCTAGGTAACAGGTTACCTAGGTAACCGTGACTTTTGGTCATGTCCACATTTACCTATGTCTCCTCCTGCCATGTCTTCCTGGTCTGTATGCTAGCTCAGTCTGTAGGTTTGAATTAGCATCTCTAATCAGGCATCCTCCAAATTACAGAGAAAGGAGCAGAACAACATCTTGACCCTTTGTTAGGTTAGCGACGGCATGTCTGGAAGGGTACATGACTACTTCAGGTACTAACTATGGCTTGGTAGCCTGGCTGTCATACCATGTAGAAATATAGGCCTACAGGTCTTCTCGTCTGTGGAGAATGAGAGCTCTTCATAAGGGTATTGGAAGCACTCAGTGGTGTCTTGGCGTAGAGTTAAGCACTGTCCTATCCTTCCAGAAACATGACAGATTGATTCTAGGAACACGCGACCACAACGTTCCTTTCAACAGAGTTTAGAGACTGTTGGATCTGACATCGGTACAACTCTGCTACTCTTTTGCCTCATGTAACTATCTTAACAAAGTTTCAAAGGCATCCAAAACACCTGGCAGATGAGAAATCGCTTTCAAATGTAAAGCAAGGGCTAAGGCCTGACTGGTAAAGGGCTTGCTTTGTAAACACACCGGTTCAATCCTGGGTGTCTGCTTGTCAATCTCAACGCTGGAGAGGTGAAGACACATGAGTTCCTGTGGCACAAAGCCAGCCTGGTACTTGGCAAATTCCAAGCCAGTGAGAGACCCTTTGAAAAAGAAACTTTGAAAAAGGCTGGTGGTGGCCTGTGCCCGGAGAACAACACCTGAGGCTGTGCTTGGCAGCTTTGGAGCTGTTTCTAAAGCTTCCTTCTAGCACCAGCCGTGCCGCCCTCCAGGCTCAAGGTGGCATCTCTGAAACCCAACACCTCCCCAAAGCGGGAGAACACCCGAGTGGCATTTTACTTAGAAGTAAAGATCTTCTGGGTCTTGAGGATTTCTCTTCTTGTAAGATCTTGTAAGATCATTTTCTTTCTTCCTTTCCTTTCCTTTCCTTTCCTTTCCTTTCCTTTCCTTTCCTTTCCTTTCCTTTCCTTTCCTTTCCTTTCCTTTCCTTTCCTTTCCTTTTCTTTCTTTGCAGCTTTGGAGCCTGTCCTGGAACTAGCTCTTGTAGACCAGGCTGGCCTTGAACTCACAGAGATCCGCCTGCCTCTGCCTCCGAGTGCCGGAATTAAAGACGTGTGCCACGGTTCCATACGGCATTTCTGTCTGTGGCCTTAGCATAGTTGTGCTTTAAACTTTCTCTTGTCTCCCCTCCTATCCTCCTGGTCCCCTTCCTCTTCCCAGATAGTTACCCTTCTCTTTTCATGTCTTCAAAACCAAATCTAGATTTCCCATGAGAGACATATGTGCTTTCTGAGGCTGCTTTGTTTTGCTAGACGTGGTGATCTCTAGCTTCATGTGTTTTGCTCTCCGTGGTTGAAGGAACTTCATTGTATATACGCTGTATTTCCTGTGCCCATTCCTCTGACAGTGGACTCCTGAGCTGGTACTATAACTTGGCCAGCATAAACACTGTAGCAGTGAATATGGGTGGAGCAGGCATGGCTGTGCTGTGGTGATTTAGAGCCTTTGGATCCCCAGAAGTGATCCAGATATGGTGTTTCTATTTTAGGTGAATAGATTTGTTTGTTTGCTTGCCTTTGGTTTTGTTTTTTCATCCTCGTTTCCATAGTGATCACTCTGATTTACACTCCCAGAAGCAATGTGGTTCCTTTCCCCTCATATCCTTGTCAGCATTTATTGCTGTTCATTCTCTTGACAATAAGCACCGAGACTCGGGTAGGATGGCATCTCGATGTAGTTTATTCCTAAGGATGCTCAATCACATATTTATTGGACATTTGCGCTTCTTTTGAGACCTTGCCCATTTGTAGATTAGATTCTGGGCTTTGGAGTACTTAGTTTCTGAGCTCTTCATATATTCCAGGTATTAGTCCCCTGTCAGGTGAGTTGCTAACGACATTTTCCTGCTGGTCCGTAGATTGTCTCTTCACTCCGATGGTTGTTTCCTTTACTACACAGAAACTAATTTATTAGATTCCCATTTGTTGATTTTTTGCTATTGTTTCCTGGATATTGGAGTGTTTTCCTATATTGGTTTCAGAGTTCAGGTCTTTGGTGCATTTTAAATTGAATTTGCACAGAGGGAGACATGGGGAACTGATTTCAATCTTATACTCATGAACATTCACTTTCTCAGCACCATTGTTGATGAGGCTGTCTTTTCTCCAAAGTATGTGTTTTGCTCTTTTTTCGAAACTCAGGAGACTGCAGCTGCATGTATATGTTTCTGGATCTTTATTTCATTGATCTGCATGTCCCTATTCTGTGCCAGAGCCATACTGTTTTTGTTTTGTTACTATGGCTTTATAGTATAATTTGAGATCAGGCATTATAATATCTCCAGTGTGTCTCTTTTTGATCAGAATTGCTGTGGCTATTTGTGTGTGTGTGTGTGTGTGTGTGTGTGTGTGTGCACACGTGTGAATTTTGGGACCCACTCTGAGTTCTGTGAAGAATGTCTTTGGAATTTAAGGAGGGATTGCATTGTATCTGTAGATCGCTTTCAGCAATATAGCCATTTTCTTTTCTTTTTTCTATTTTCCTTTATCTAAATGATTTTTTTCATACAATAGGTTCTGATTATGGTTTTCCCTCCCTCAATTCCTAGATCCTCTTCACCTTCCTTTCGATCCATATCCATATCATTTCTCACTCCCTAAAAAAACATACAGACAGTTAAAGAAGATAAAACAAAAGCAAACAAATCTGAATAGAGCAAAACAAACAAACAGAAGAAAAAGAGCCAAATATAAAGCAAAGAAACACATATAGACACAGAAACACACATATTCGCAGACACAGGAATCCCATAGAAATACAAAACTAGCTGGGCAGTGGTGGCACACTCCTTTAAGAGAGGCAGGCGGATCTCTGTGAGTTTGAGGCCAGCCTGGTCTACAGAGCTAGTTCCAGGACAGGCTCCATAGCTACAGAGAAACCTTGTCTCGAAAACCAAACCAAATCAAAACAAAATAAAGAAAAAGAAACACAAAACCAGAAGCTCTAATATACACAAAGGACCTGTAAGATGGAGGCAGAGGAGGAGGAGGAGGAGGAGGAGGAGGAGGAGGAGGAAGAAGAAGGAGAAGAAGAAATACCCTGACCAAATATTATGAGACCAAGAACCTCCACAGATGCCACTGAGTTCATTTTTGTGTTGGCCTTCTGCTGGACATGGGGCCTGCCCTTGAGTGGGTTGTATCCCCAGTGAGAATCCATTGTAGACAACTGATTTTCCATTTCATCTCCAGTGAGACTGTGTTGGAGTGAACTAAGAGGCTATCAGTTGAAGAAGCTGCTAAGTTAGGAATGGGGCATGGGTCTACTTCTCTCAGCCCTGGCACCCAGCTGGTGCAGATCTGCTCAGGCCCGTGTATGCTGTCAGTTCTGTGAGCTCTTACGGACACTGGTCCTGCTGTGTGTAGAAGGTCTTGTTTCACGGTACCAGTTCTGCTGAACAACGAACATCTATTTTGATTCTTCTTTCAAATTATTCTGACTGCTCTTGGCCTTCTGCTCTTCATAATAGAATCATTTAGCTGTGTTTCCCTATTAATGTTGGGATTCTAATTGTAATGGTATTGAATTTATCAGGCCAATGTAATTATTTGAAATGTTTTTATTGTATTAGCATGTCCTGTGTGTTCTTTGGACCTACTGTTTAAATTCATATTCTGTTTAGCTGTGCTTTTGCTAATTGACTTCTGTCTGCTGTCAACAGCTAATTAACATAGTGGGAGGAGCTTATTTGACTACATTTTATGAGGTGCTAAAATAATACAATTTAATCCCAGCTGTAAAGAATTTATATTATTATTTAATTATCATTTGATCTTCTAATAATGACTTCAGCATGAGTTTATGTATATAATTTATAGTAATTTTTTTTGAAACAGAGTCTCATATAGCCCAGGCTGGCATCCAATTTGTTATGTAGCTGAGGCTGGCCTTGAACTCTCCTGCAGCTATCCCGAAAGTGCTTGGACTACAGGCATGTGCCATCATGCCTGTTTTAGCAGTGTGGACGCTCACCCCAGGGTCTCATGTGTGCTAAGTGGGTTGTTCTATCAGCTGAGCTACATCCTCAGCCTTCAGTTTCAACACTTTTCCTGAATCTTTCGTTGGGTGGAGGGAGGATGTCAGGAAAGCATTAGAAGAAGCCCAGACTTGAAATGCAGTAAAGTAATCCTAAAAAGGACATCACATCCCTTGGCATACTGTAGAATGTGGGCTAAAAGACTGCTGTGTGCTTCTTGGAAAGGGGCGTATGTGTATGTGCGTGTGTGTGAGTCTATGTGTGCATCTGTCTGTGTGTATGCCTTTATGTGAGTGTCTGTGTGTTTGTGTGTGTATGTGTGTTTGTGTGTGTATGTGTTTATCTATGTGTGTGTCTCTTTCTGTGTCTGTGCCTATGTATGTGTGTCTATGTGTGTATGTATGTGTGTGTCTGTGTCTCTGTGTGTGCATCTCTATGTGTCTGCGTGTGTCTGTGTGTCTCTGTGTGTGTCTGTGTCTCTGTGTATGCATCTCTATGTGTCTGTGTGTCTCTGTGTGTATGTCTCTGTGTGTTTCTCTCTCTCTCTCTCTCTCTGTATGTGTGTGTGTGTGTGTGTGTGTGTGTGTGTGTGTAAGAAAGGATGGGGAGGATTTGAGGAGCTGTTAACATGGTAGTCTTTGAGAATGACCTTCTCTGGAGATACGGCTGACTGCATATGGAACTCAGAACTGCTTACACAACCCACTCATAACCCCTAGAACTCAGCGGAGCTGCAGCCTCCTCACCACCCCGTGTCCCTATCCTGCCCTGGCCCTGTTGGAGTTACTGCACCCGAGACAGTCCTACTCACTCGTCCTCATGCTTCCAACCCTAGGTGACAGACCAGAAGCTGTCGGGGCAGAGAGCTGCCCTGGAGCGGGGTCAGAACCCACTGCCTCTGTACTTGAGCCTCAACGTCAAAAAGGACAATCTGGATACCCTCCACTTCAAGGGTAAAGTCCTTCCCATTCTAGCCCCTAACAACTCCTCCATGCCCCAGGCGTCTCCAGAGAGCCAATAGCCCAACTCCTGCACACCACAGCTAGCTTCTGGAAGGCTGCTATTGTTGATGAGCCCAGGAGCCAGCCGGGAGCACTCTGTCTTTGGGTGTGGGGTGTCTTATGTGTGGCCAGGGGTCAGTGAGAATGCTCGCCTAGGAGTCTGCTTCCTCAGACTACAGGGTTTGGTAGCAGATAAGGGGAGCCAAAGGCCTGCCAGGGGCAGTGCCACTGGCCACAGAGAGTTGAGCCCCACCACTCCCCTCACATCCCTGCCTCTCTTTCCCATCCCATTAGAATGGGTGGAGTTCTCTCCTTATGAAGTTGGGTTCCTGAAATATGGCGGCTTTGTCCCCCCTGAGCTCTTTGGCTCTGAGTTCTTCATGGGGAGACTGATGAAGAGGCTCCCCGAGTCCCAGATCTGCTTTCTGGAAGGTGAGTGGAAGCCTCTTCCTGGACAGGACTCTTGTAGTGTGGGTCTGGGTGGAGGGACAGGTGGGCAGTGGGGAAGGCTCGTGGGGAGCTGCTCTCTCCCCATGCCCATTTTCCATCGGCACCCAAGAGTGGGGATCAAGAGTGGGGATCATTTGGTGTCCCCGTGGGAAACAGGTACAGGAACCTAGGGACTATATTGGCTTTGGGGAATTTGGCCTTCAGGTATCTGGAGCAACATCTTCTCTGTGAACTTGATGGATATCTGGTACGATGTCACCTCGGGGAAAGATTGGAAGAATGTCATTGTGGATGTCCGGCACTCAGGTAGAAGAGGGGTGCTGGGGGAGGGAGCCTGAGATGAGGCCACTCCCCTTCGGAGGCTGGTGGAGGAGAGAACAGGAAGGCATTTGGGGGCCCCTCTGACAAGCAGTCTCTGTTACTCTCCATGCAGAGGAGCCCTCAGCCTCAGCAGGAACCTCCTCCTGTGTGGAGGCCTCGTGGCTGCAGCCTGGAAGCGCCCTGGCCCAGGCATTGAAGGGCTTTCTGAACGGCCGGCCATTCTATCAGCGCAGTGCCAACTTCCTCCATGGCCTCCAGCTGCACCAGGGCTACCGTAGCCAGAAAAACTTCTCCACCTGGGCAGGTAAGGACCATGACCTGGGTCCCCACAAGGCCAGGCTCCTGGATGGGATTGAGCTGTGGCCGCTAGCCGGCAGGGGTTTGCAGGGAGAGTGTATGGATGTACTTGGGGGGTGTGGTCTAGAGAGCCCAATGTGGACCCTAGGGACCTGAATTCAGAGAGTGGCACCAGGCATAAGAAGGGGACATGGAGGGAAACGGGGTCAGAGGGGTGTGGAGGCTACCTCTGCAAAGGTGGTTGCTTTTAACTAGCATTGCCTTTCCTATCAGATTGCCACCTAGATAACACCCCCAATCAGCTGACCCCGCAGGACACTCAGCTCTGCCTAGTGGATGCTGGCTACTTCATCAACAACAGCTGTCCCTCCATGTTCCGCTCAGGTCGCCAAGTGGACCTCATACTCTCCTTCGGCTACTCCCAATTCTCGCCCTTTGAGGTACCTAGTCACTCCGTGGGAACTCCTCTGTGTGGCCTCCACGGATGAGCAGCAGGGTCACTGTGCCACTGCCCCATCCTTCTCGTGACCAAGGCAGGAAGCTGTAATCCACCGGGGGGGGGGGGACTCTCTGGGTCCTCGGTTGGGAGGGCAACGGTGGTGGCTGAGCTCTGGGATCCCAAGACAGGTGAATGGGAACCTCTTTGGGACAGAATAGCTGGACAGAGCTGGCAGGAGATCCCCAGACACCTCCACAGCCAACTCTCAACTTCCTCTAGGAGCTCTGGGTGGCAGTAATGCCAGCATGCCCATCTAGGTCCCCTGCTGAAGCCCTCCAGGTCTAAGACACAGTGATGGTGCATTGGCAGGAGGGGGAGGGGTATGGCTGCTGGGCCTTCATTCCCACCTTTAACTTTTAACTACCCGGATCCTTGGATTCATCTCCGAGGCCTGTGTAGTTCAGGCCCGGGCCAGACCGCTGTCTTGATGCTGAGGGAGCAGGTGGGTGCTGGAATAGACCTAGTGTGGATCCGTGGTGACACAGCTCCCTCTGTGCTTTCCTCTGCTCCTCTAGGGGCTGCTGCAATCTGAGAAATACTGCAGAGCTCAGGGCCTGCCCTTCCCCCACGTGGAACCCAGCCCTGAGGACCAATGCCGGCCCCGAGAATGCCACCTCTTCTTAGATCCCACCCGCCCTGAGGCGCCTGTTCTGCTGCACTTCCCGCTGGTCAATGACTCCTTCAAGGACCACTCAGCCCCTGGTGAGGCCACTATTCCTTTCCAGTGGCTTCTAGGAAAGCCTTCTGACTGGTCTCCAGGCTCTTTGGCCAGCCTAGCCATGCCTCCCTGGCCTGGGTGGCTGATGCCCCTTATCTTTGTAATGTCCCCTGTCACTGGTCTTGTCACTGTCCTGCAACTTTGTCCTGACCCCTCTGCTTTCCTGCTCTGTGTGGCCTGAGACCCCTTCTCAGGGACCTGGGCCTTTCTTCGAGTGATGCTCAATGTCTACTTTTGTGCATTGTTCCCAGTTTTCTAGTTGATACCATAATTCTGAATCTTCCAGGTATACTCTTTTCTATGATTTTGGTTGTTCATCTTGCTACAAGGTCTTTCTGGATAGCCTCAGCTGACCTGGTACTCACTATGTGACTTCAGCTTCATAGCAATCCCCCTGCCTCAGCTCCCTGAGTGTTGGGATTACTTGTGTGTGCTACCACACTTAGCTCTACCTTTTCTTCTTGTCTTTCCTTTACTTCCTTTCTTTCCCCTTTCCTTTTTAAAATATGAGTGTTTTGTCTGCATGTATGTCTGTGCACCACTTGCATGCTCTGGTGCCCAAGGAGGTCAGAGAGGGCATCGGACCCCTCTGGGAGTGAAGATGGTCATGAGCTGCCATGTAGGTGCTGGAAATCAAATCCAAGTCCTCTAGAAGAGCAGCCAGTGCTTTTAATCAATCAGTCATCTTTCCAGGCCCCATTTTTTCTTTTCTTATGAATGAATGAATGAAATTTATGCCCTGGCAATGCTGAAGCATGCACAGGCAGCCATATAGAGTGATCTGTTGAACTTATCCATATTGGGTTTCATGGTCTAAGCTGATGAGGACAACATCTTTTTCTTATCCTGGGTGTTAAATCTAAAGCCTCCCACATAGAAGCGAGTGTTCAGTAACTACATCCCCAGCCCAGGTTTTCAAGTTGCTCAGGCTGTTTGTGATCCCGGTGTTAGACCAGGCCTTGGATGTATAACCCTGCTTCAACCTCAGAGTAGCTAGATGATGACCTTAGAGACTGGGCTTCTAGTTTCACCCTTAGCCAAGTCTCAGAATTCAGGAGCTTTAAGAATCCATTCATCAATCACATTGTTCCTCTTCGTGCCAGTTTCTAGCTTCCTGAGAGGCCATGGAGCAGCCATGAGCTGTGTGAATTGTGGGAGGTGTGTCTGGCTGTGGGGGGTAAGGGTGACAAACTCCTCTTACCTCAAAGCCATTACTGCCCACATTTGTAGGGTTGGGTGAAGGGAAAAAGCAAGGACTCCTTCCATGGGACGCAGCACCCTCGGGGCCTGACTGAGTAACCTCATCCTGTTCACCTGTGGAAGCCTCTGGTTCCTGCCCCTAACTCTCCTCTCACCCTTGGACAGGCGTCCGGCGCAGCCCTGCTGAGCTCGAGGCCGGGCAGGTGGATCTCACAGGGGAAGCCTCCCCGTACTTCATGTACAACATGGCCTACAAGGAGGAAGATTTTGACCGCCTGCTTCAGCTCACTGACTACAACATGCGGAACAACCAGGGCACTGTCCTGCAGGCCCTGAAGACCGTTTTGAAACGTAAGGCCCCAGAGGCGAAGCCCTTGGAGATGCAGACCTGAGGCTTCTCGGGGGGCCTCTAAGGCTCTGAGGGCCACACTCGGACCCTCCACTTTCCAAGGACTTAACTCAGGCTGCAGCTGGGCATAGCCACAGTGCCCCTTCCCAGTTCTCCAAATCCTGGTTTCCTCTGCAGCTAGCCTCACCGTCAGAGAGGCTGTGTACCCCACCCACCGGTCTCCCCTCTGTCCCAGCTGCTTTGAGGAAAGTTGAAAGTCTCTCCTGGCCAGTACATATAACGACTGACTGACTACACCAGCCAAGCTTTCACAAGCAATTACTTTCTTTCTGAGCAGAATGGACTTGGGGTGGCTTAAGGCACCTGGATGCACCTGCACCTTCTCCTCCTTGTCGATACGCAAGGCTTTTATTTCCTTTTTAAAGACGGGTTTAAAAAACCTCCCTACTCCATGACCTCACCATGTCTTAGGCTTAAATCCTCAGTATTCTATTCTTTTTGATGATATTACAAACGGAAGTATTTTCTCAGTGTCGTTTTCACACCATTCCTTGCTGTTGGAAATGTAGTTAGTTTTGTAGTTTGGACTTGCATGATACAATCATTAAGCTCTCTGGCTTAAATACTTTCCATAGGTTCTTCAGAGCATTCAGTTACGAACTTGCCACCTGCAAACGGAGAGGGTCTGACTTCTCGCTTCCTGATTTAAGTGCCTTTTCTTTCTTTCTATGACCTGATGCTGTGACTAGTTTGTTGAGTGTTTTTGTTTTTGTTTTTAACCATAAGAAAGTACTAAATTTTGCCATGTAATTTCTGTATCTCTTGGGATACTCATGTAGGTTTGTTCTTTAATTCTATACTTGTTTATTTGTTTGTTTTGCTTTGGGTTATTGTTTGTTCGTTTGTTTGTTTGAGACAGGGTCTCACTCTCATGCCTGACTTGCCCATACTTCACTATATAGACCTAAATGGCTTCAGACTCATAGAGGTCTGTTGTGGAATAATTCTCTTATACACCGTAAAGATTTGTCACTTGAATTGGTTTAATAAAATGCTATACTCCCGGGAGGACCAAGACAGCATGGCGGGGAGAGGAGCCCACGCAAACCCTGGAGACCAGGTGTTCCTTTTTCTGTCCTAAATAGCCCGTGGGAGTCGTCCGGACCCTCCCCGGGGAGGGGGGAGGGGTCAGCACTTGGCAGGCTGGGAGGTGGAGTCCAGAGGTGGAGCCCAGCCCAAGGTAACTCCCAGGCCACGGGCTGGGGTGACGCTTCCAATCATCCCAGATTTCTTAGGAGTGTCAGAGGGCTGGGGTCTCACTTTCAATCAAACAGAAAGGAGTCACCAGACAGACACAGAGGGGGCGAGACATCAGGAGGAGAGGTAAAAGCCACAAGTCACCTGACAACATACAGACAAAATAGAAATGGGTTAATTTAAGTTATAAGAGCTAGCGGGACAAGCCTAAGTTACAGGTCCAGCTTTTATAATAAATAGTGCCCATGCTGTTTTTGTTGTGAGCTGGTGGCACAAAGGAAAGTCTGTCTACACCCCAGACTCAGCAAAGACTACTGAGAGATTTACATATATGCAGTAAACATATGGAAAAGTGAAGTGAGCCAGTAAGATGTTTTACCTCCGGCTAAGTCAGACGGGGGGTGGGGGGGGGTTGGGGTTGAGAGGACAGAACGGGCCCTTGGGAAACGACTCGGCAGATCTCTGCATCAGCGGCCAAGTGAAAAGCGATGGCTGCCGTTTATTGAGTGTAACCAATAGGATGCTAAGCATTTTCGTTTTCCCATTTAGTTTTCACAACAGCCTAGGGAGGTAAGTGTCATGCCGAAAAGTTATTTTCCGAGGTGAGAGGTGGCGAAATAACTTGCTCCAAGCCACAGAGGCATTAAGGGTGGAGCCAGGACCCAAATCCAGGGCACCTGAGTTCAGCTCATCTGTTTGGCCATCCTATGTGCTGCCAAATTCATTTTCACAGTCACGACAAACTGGTAATCCCCAGTCCCAGAACAGAGTACCGGCAGTCGCTACATTGGCCAACACACCAGGAGCCAGGATTCAAGGATCTCTCAGCATCTCATAGAATCTAGGACAGCTGGCTTTGTGGCCCAACCTGGCCCTGATTTGCTCGAGGCTAGGAGGGGAGTGAGCTTGGTCAGCACAAAGCAGGTTGTTAGGATGAGAGAATTTCAGTGCCTATGTGGAGAAGGTCCTGAGTACGCAGAGACAAGCTGGCCGTCTGACCTAACACCTGGCACTGGCAGCGGGGCAAGAGCAGAGGGACAGGGGACTGGCGACGGCTGCTACCCAGGCAGAGGACGAGGAAGGAAAAACACACACGGCTATTGACTTTCAGATGTTTCCTGTACCTGTTGGAAAAAGATTGTGTCCTTTCTGGGAATGGACAGAGGGAGAGGAGTTACAAGTATTTGCCCCCCAATGGAGCTCAGGAGAAAATGAGAGCCCTTAGTCCTCCTATGGAAGAGGCTGGCGTGTGAGGGTGAACCCCGAGAATGCCATAAACAGTGAGGTGCAGCCTATGGAAGGAAACTGATGAGATCCTGACTGTGGGTGAGGGCTGGGTTCAAATCCTGGCATGTACCTTGATGATTATTGTTATTTTGATGTGTAGGGGTGTTTTGCCTACATGTATGTATGTGAGGGCCCTCACACATGCTGGGCACGCACCAGGTGCCCACACATGCTGGACAAGCAATCTGTCACTGAGCTGCATCCCAACCCAGTAGTTATTTTAAATTTTTATGTAATAATTTTAAACAAGTACTTGTTTGACACAACTTCATGGAAATGGGGTACTTTATGCACATAAATGGATATCCCTTCAGGGGGTGAAGAGGTGGGCCAGCAGTTAAGACCACTTGGTGTTCTTGCAGAGAACCTGGGTTCGTTTCCAGCACCCATATGACTGCTTACAATTTTACTCAAGTTCCTTCTTCTGGCCTCCTTAAGAGCCAGGCACACACACAATGCATGCAGGTAAGGCACTCATACACATAACATAAACATAAAAAGTTGCCAGCCATGGTGGTGCCCGCCCGCCTTTCGTCTTAGCACTAAAGAGACAGAGACAAAGTGTTCGCTGAGTTGGAGGCTGGCCTGGTCCACAGAGTGAGCTCCGGGTTAGCTAGAGCTACATAAATAACTCTGTAAGTAAATAAATAACTAAAATCTCTTTTCAAAAACGAAAGATTATTTCTTCAAGCACAGATTATATCCTGGTGTTGAGCATAACTAGCCTCAAGGCCAAGCAATCACCACCGGTTATGACCCTTGTAAAAGAACAGCAGGACTAGCCCAGCTGGGCCTTTGGCTATTTAAACCCCTTCGTGGAGGGAGCGGTCACAAGACGCACACCTGAGTATCCCTCTATTGGCTTTAACTTGGCCTTAATTGCACGAGGCCTCAGGGAGGGGCTAGAGCATGTAGACCCAGGAAGACTGATTGGGGGCTTGTCTCTGGGGCAAGAAGAAGTCCTCACCCTGCTGCTGCTCCAGGTGCTGCCTTTGGAGAAGCGAGCCCTCACACCCACGTAGGGAACCCCTCCCCTGTGCTCCATAAAGACGCCCAATAAACTATAAGTACTCCAGAGCAAGTTTTGGTGGAACCATGCCCTGGTTTGCCCTGGCAGCTTAGTTTCAGAAGAAGTAGACGTTGGTTATGGCTTACCCCCAGGGAAAGAATTTTAGCAACTCCTGGGCACTTTGAACCTAGCTAGCAATTAACTTGAGTGAAGATTGCAGTTCAGCTGACCTACCACTAGGGGATGGTGTTGTGAAGTGACCCCAAGGAGTTTGACTGATTGAGACCCTTGGGCTTCAAGAGACCAGAACATATGCATCGCTGTAAACTTCTCATACAATATACCCCTTGAAATTTTTATTTTTTGTACAAGAGTATTTTGCTTGCATATATGTCAGTGCGCCATGTGCATGCCTGGGACAGAAGAACTCAGAAGACAGCTTCTGATTCCTGGAACTGGAATTACAATTGGTTATGAGCCACCATGTGTGTGCTGAGAACTAACCTTGGGTACTCTGCAAGAACAGCAAGTGCTCTTAACCACTGAGCCATCTCTCCTACCTTACAGTATGTCCTTAAACTCATGTAGCAGTCTTACATGGTAGTTGTAACCAGTGTTTACATATGTATTCAAAGGGGAACTTAATTCAAAAACATAAAATACCTAGAGGAAGCCTCACATCATACAAGTGCTTGGGATTTTGTTCTCAGCCGGGATGCCCATTAACTGTACCACAGATAAGCACGTGTTAGTGTACTTAGTTGTGCAATGAGATATTAAGTAGCTCTGGAAATGAACACTTTGTCTCACACACAACATGTGGATGGATCGTATAAAATACGATGCTGGTTATAAGCAGCCAGGCTTACAAGAGTAATACTGATTGACTGCTTTTACATAAAGACCCCAAAGTGGTCAAACTCACTATGGTATAGGAACTCAGGATGTTGTGCTTTGAGGGATCAGGGGAGCCAGGATAGAAGGAAGCCCAGGATATTTGTGGGTTTTAGTTAATCTTCTGTGTTTTGATTGGTGTACTGGTTATGCATGTACGTTCAACTTAGTCTGCTTCCTGTTAATATCCACAGTCAAGTAATTTAAAGAGAAGAAATTTGTTTCTTACACCTCTGAAAGTTGGGAAAGCCAGAGTTAAGGGGTTGCATTTGGTAAGGGCCCTCTTGGCTGGTGAGGATTCTGCTGTAACATGGTGTGGCAGGGAACATCACATGATGAGAGGAATCCAAACCAGCCTAACTAGTTTTTATAACAGACCCACTCTGGTGATAACCCATTAACTCACTAACTCACTGATCTATGGGTGGGTTAGTGTATCCGTGAGGACAGAGCTCGTCACCCGGTCACCTCCTAAATGCCTGTCACCTTTACATATCACCTTATCATCTACCTATGACTTTGAGCATTAAGCACCAAGATTGGAATTTTGGGAAAGCACCACCCAAACACTGCAAATAGTGAGCATTCATGGGCTGCACACCTACACCTAGAATTCACACAATTTTCTGTGCGTCAGCATTGGCCTTGAGTTTTCTGTGGGGTTACAGAGATAGGTCAGTGGCTAAGTGTTGAAAGAAGACTGCTGGTTAGTTCCCTGCCTCTTAGCCCTGAAATAATCACACAGAAACTCTATTAATTAAATCACTGCTTGGCCCATTAGCTTTAGCTTCTTATTGGCTAATTCTTACATATTAATTTAACCCATCTCCATTAATCTGTGTATAGCCACGTGGCTGTGGCTTATTGGCTAAAGTTCTGGAGTCTGTCTCCAGCAGGGCTACAGGGTGTCTCTCTGACCCCGCCTCCTTTCTCTCAGCATTCACTTTAGTTTTCCCCATCTAGCTCTGTTCTTTTGCCCTATCACAGGCCAAGACAGTTTCTTTATTCATTAACCAATAAAAGCAACACATAGACAGAAGGACCTCCCACACCAGCTAAGAGCTTGGGCTATCTGTTCTTGCAGAACGTGAGAAAGGCAAATGAGATAGGTTGTCTTTTCCAGCAGAGGGGTAAATGAGACAAAGGAGGCACCAGGCTTGACGAAATTCATAAAGATGCCATTGGGCAAAAGTTCCTCTGCCAGTCAGCTCTTTCCTAGGGTTGCATTATATGCTCCAGGCTGCGTCCTGCTCTCACGGCTGGGCTTTGCCTAGCCTGCCCTTTGAGTCAGCCAACTGCATAGGACTGAGAGCCAGCTCTGACCGCTCAGAGTGCGGCACAGGACCTCTTTCTATTAAGAATAAAAGTTCAGTGGGATTCCAGAAGAATATGTTTGCTTGATCTGTAGGGGTTATATTTCCTGACTTGCTGAAATACTTCAGATTGTATGGTTATGTTCTTGGGACCCCAGACCCATCTCTAACACGGAAGACCTGAGTTTGGTTTCCAGCACCCATATAGGGTACCTTATGACCATCTTTAACTAGTTGTAGGGAATCTAATGGTCTCGTTTGGCCTCTGTGAGCACCTGTACTCACGCATACAAACCTGC